CGAGTTTTGCCCAGGGGCACTCCAGAACCTCGATGTGGGCGTGGTTTTATTTGTTTTTATTGTTATTATTTGTGTATTTGTTTTTTGTTTGGAGTGTTTTGCCCAGGGGCACTCCAGATTTGAGAGGACCTAGAATCAGTTGGGGTACCCGACTGTTTTTCGGACCCTCCCAAGCAGAAAAGGGTGAAAGGGGGAGTAGAGCTCGAGGTTTTTTTGTTTCGAGTTTTGGTCAGGGGCACTCCAATTTTGAGAGGACCTAGAATCATTTGGGGTACCCGACTTTTTTTTGCAAAAAAAACCCTCCCAACCAAAAAAGGGTAAAAGGGGGAGTAGACCTCGAGCGGATCTCGAGGTCACTGCCCAAGCGACAATTGGAGACAAACCCTCTTTGTATACAGGGTCACTGGATTTTTCCTTAACTTACGAGTTCCCCCCTTAAAAACTTGAACTTTGCCGATAAGATCCTGCAACGCGGCCACGTTTGGAGGTCCAACCGAGGGTTCAAATGCACCTGACTCACAATCAAAACCCGGTACAAAAATGGTGAACCCAGAACCATGTCCAGGATTGAGTCCGCACCTACTGTGGGTGGACAAAATCCTGCACCACTGGGAAACCATGGGAAACTACAGTTTGTTGGCATTTACAAGGGAATCATCATGCCAGGGATTTTTAGGTGGTGCTGGATTTGGTCCACCCACAGTACTTCTGGTTGGGATCGTCCCTTACTGACCTTTATCAATCCCCGGGTTTTGAGCTACGTGACTCACCTGACCGAGGGAAACATCGCGCTGAGGCTAGGCGCGGTGATCCCGGCGCAGAGCAGCGGGGTGGCGCCGGCCAGGTCCATGCCATCGGGGATCTTGCACACGTAGTTCCTTCGGGCGGGCGGAAAAACCAACCGCTTTGTGGTGGAAAGAAGGGGAACCCCTACAAAACAGGGGGGGACCCCAAGATGGGTGACAAAAAAACGAGTTTGGGTGGAAAATGGGAACCCCACAAAATGGGGTGGGGGGGGACCCAAAAGATGGTAGATGGTAACGGTGCTTTTGTTTTACTAGGGCTGGATTTTTCCTAGGACCCCAAGATGGGTGATTAAAAAAAAGCGGGTCCAGGGATTTTTGAACCACTGGTTTAAGCACTGTTTGCACTTCGGTTCCGCTGCATCTTGATATTGGCAACCAGCTGTACCTCTTCTTGCTGGGGTCATTGAAAGCCATCCTGGACACGTTTTCGGCGGGTTTTGGGGGAGGCTGGTTTAGTTGTGCAGCGCCGAAATTTCTGACGGCTCATGTCTAAAGTTGTTTCTGCCGGGCGTCTCATCCACCACCACGCACTGCGAGTAGCCGCCGTAAGTTGGGGTGCCACCATCCGCGTTGTACTCATTGCAGTGTTCGAACTTGTGCCTTCCGTTGTAGGTCATCACGGAGCCTGACAGCTCCCTAAGCAGAAATGAAGCCTAGTGGCAGGCAATGGTGTGCCGGACCAGAGTCAAGACTTGTCCAACGTGCCAGAGCACAGAGGCTAGCTGGCATCAGGGAGGTTGCAAAGGCGTGCGCAACGCCCCTTGTCATTCGCAAGGCTCTCGAAAATACTGTCCCAAGAACCACCAGTTGAGTGAGGAAATACCGCCATTCAGTACAGTCGGCCCAAGCCCAAACCTGACTTGACCCGCGCAAGCCTCAGAAACCCCCAGGCGAAACCTTCAACTGGGTATGGGTCAAAATTAACCCACCAGGGGACCACAGGTTTTAGTCGTTGTTTCCATTTACCAGGGTTTCATTTTGGGTACCTATTTTTGACCCACGCCCAACTCAATGTGAGTTATGACTATGGCCACGCCAGCTTTGAGATGACGCTAGAGCTCGCCCAACGATGTTGTTGAGGTTGCGAATGAAGGCCAAACGACAGCCGGATCTGTCGCAGCGAACTCATATCGGCGCCCCACCCACACCCACCCACGCAGCGCTTCTTCCCCAGTAACTAGCACCGAAAGATGCAAGGGAATCCACGCTTCGATTTCCTGTCAAAGAACGTTTGCCGACTCCGTGCCCACGTCCACATTGCCCCACCACGCGAAAGCTTATCGTCCAAAAAGGTTTGCTACAAAACAGCATGCTTGAACGGATCCCTCCCGCATATATTTAAAAAAGGCAGGTGTCGGAGCTAGGCTAAGCTCTATCAGTTTTACATGGTCGGACCCTTTGAAGTGGACATCATCTCACGTAGAGTTATGCATGTCCACCATCCATTTTCGACGGGGCTCCCGTGCTCTATCAAGAAGACTGTGGGTCAAAAATTGGTACCCAAAATGGAACCCTGGTACATGGAAACATGGACTAAAACCTGCAGTCCCCTGGTTCCTTAATTTTGACCCATGCCCAGAAGAAGCACGCAGAAGCACGCAGAACCCGCACAAAGCACGACCCGCGCCAGGCCTTTGGCGCAGTAGTTCTCCTCCCCGGCCTTGCAGTTGTCGCACTGCCGGCAGCTGTCCACCATGCAGCCCACCCCCACGCGGTCGCCCACCTCAGACAGCAGGGGTAGCTTCCATTTCCATTCTTTCCAGGCATCCGGATCTTTCATGATCTTTCTACAAAACCACCCAAAACCCCGGGGAAACAACTGGTTTTTGGCAAGAACGATGGTTGAAAAGAATGGAATTGGAATCAACCCCTAGAACAGCGTCATCATGCGCATCTTTTGGACCCATCGCCCCCAGGGATGTCTCACCCCCCCCCCCCCCGCCCCACAGCTGCCTTTTTGTCGGGCTAGGGTGGGTCTCTTTCTATTTGGGTTCAAATCGCCATTTTGACATACCGAAATGGCAGTACAAAAACCCGCGTTTCTAAAAAATGCGCACTTGTCCTAATCCGCAATCCACATTCATCACGAAAATTACGGATTGGTCTTGACCCAGCCAGGAAAAGAACAGCTTCTGCCAAGTTCATTGACGGGGCAAAGCATTTTGCTTTGCTTCGTTGCTGTTGACCCCCCTGCAAAAAGTTTAACTTTTTGGGGGTTTAGTGGAAAACCCCTTGATTTCCCAAATTGTTTAAAGTCTAAAGATCCAACCCAATAGCTTTTGAGTTTGGTGATCCCTCTTGAAGGTCCCTTTTATTCTAAGGTGAACAGGGCTTCCTTGAAGCTGTACCACAAGAACCACGTCCAGCGTTTCACGGACCTCAAAGACATGAGCAGCAAACCCCGGTCACCTTCATTTCTTCCCAAGTTCAAAGCCTTCATTTCGAACACACATACAGTGTTCAGAGGGCCTCCCATGCTCTGGATGTCAGAACTTCTCACTCCCTGATCACTAAACTCTGGGCAGTTTGTCCAGCGCCTGTTCCGGATTCGCAACAGCGCTTCTCCTGAAACCTGCCTGGGGCCATGTTGCCATGAAACCGCCAACCTCCCCCCACACCTTTGTCCACATTTTGGGCGCAACGCCTCCCCCCACCCCCACCCACACCTTTTTCCACGCATTCTGGGATGCTGAACATCCCCCCCCCTCGGTTTCACCCCCTCCCCCCCTCCCTCCCCTCCCCCAGTTTCCCCCGTTCGCATGCGCGCGCGCTTGGGCATCCGGAACTGCTCCCCCAAGCTTCCGCGCCTTGTACTTGGAGACCTCCGGGCCCACCTCCGAGACCACGCCCCCGATCTCGTGGCCCGGGACCATGGGGAAGATCCCGTTGGAGCCCCACTCCGCCTTCGCCTGGTGGATGTCCGAGTGGCAGATCCCCGCGAACTTGATGTCGATCTTCACGTCCTCTTGGGGCCCCCCGCAGTTTGAGGCGACCCGCGTATTGTTTGGAGGGGAGGTGCATTTTGAGTGGACCCGCGTTTTGAGGGGAGGCATGCCCCCAAAATGTGCCCGGAGGTTTGAGGGACCCACGCGTTTTGGAGGGGAGGGAAGGAAGTTTCTGAACCATCAAATTGCGTGATTGCCAATGTACTGCTCTCATGAAACGGGCTGGTCGCCATGCGTCACTCCTCCAGTGGCGTTTCCCGCCACTCGCCTGTGCCTTGCACCACCCCGCCGCCCGAATGCTCACGCAATAGCCGTGAACTGCGCTGCGTGGCCGAAATGGTTGCGTTTGCTCCCAGCAAAAGAGAAGCGCTTGAAAAAAGCGGCACTAAACGAAGTTCCACAAGGTGCCCATGGGCAACCTCCCTGTCTTGAGGATACAGGACAGCCTTCAGCCAATGAGTTCATTCAACTGCCCCGGCAGGGACGAGTTTTTTCAGTAAAATCTGTGCCATGAGTTGCTCCTCTTTTTCCAGCATACAACTCCACGACTCACGCTCCCCTCTGGTTTCTCCGTCCGCACTTAGCGCCGGTCCTTCTTCCCCACCGGGCGGCGCTCGATGGTGTGGGGCGCCAAGGGCGCCCCGGGGGTCATCGCGGCAATGCACTTGCAGGACATGGCGAGCCGAAAAGACGCGAACTCTCGAGGGCTTCTGCGCGCTCGTTCCTTGAGCCGGGCAACAAGTTGGAAGTGCAAATGCCATGAATGGGCTGTATGTCTGTCTCTCTGGCATCCGAAGCAAACCAGAGTGTTCTGCTAGAACTCCTGCTACACCTCTGATGTTATGCGATGTTTGGCAAATCATAGTAATACATCTGAAGGGCATCGCCTCTTTAGGTCAAGTTGTACCAACCATGTGGCAGGCCTTTGAGCTTTTGGCAACTTGCCCCTTGCCACACATCTCCCCCCATCCCTTTCTGTGAATGGAGCCACCAGACACACCCGCGGCATCTTGGTTGGTCAAAATATGGAAGGGGGAAACCCCAATCCGTCCGTCCGCGGGACACCACTTCTACCTGAGGCAGCTGGGTCCTCACATCCCCCGCTAAAAGTGAATAACTTGCAGTGGGGTGAATTGAGATCCAACCACTAAACACTAAAAGGCTAAAAAGCCAAGGAACCGGATGGCTGGGAACCACCTGACGCAGGATTGACGCTGCACCCGGAAAAAATGAAAAGCGCCGTCCGCGCCTGTTCAGGTCCAAGTCGGGCGGCATCTTCGCGGCGAAGAGGCCGCCTCCCTCGCCCAAGACATAGTCCTGGCAAGGCCAAATCTTCCAAGACTAGGTCCTCCAGTAGAGAGGTTAGAAGAAGGGTACCCGATTTTTTTGCTGTAGTCTATTTTAGTAGGGGAACCCTCCCAACCAAAAAAGATTGGTGAGAAAGGGCACCTAGCTGGGGACCTAGAAGACTTTGCCCCTTGCCTTCCTCGCCTGCGATCAATTCCGTTCATGTGGTTCGACTGCTGGGTGTTGCTGGCGTCTCAAGGCTCCGAAGTTTGGCAAGGGTTCCATGGTCCGACCACCCAATTTGAACGGCTCTCCCGAGATTTTGTTGATAGGACCCGCCGGTTTGGACACGGGATCCTCTTTCATCCTTCAGGTTCCATGTTGGTTTCTTTGGGGGGGATGGGCAATAAAAGAGGAATTCAAAAAGAAGTTTAAACAACAACAATAATAATAATACTAATAATAATAATAATAATAATAATAATAATAATAATAACAATAACAATAACAATAATCATAATAATAACAATAATAATGATAATGATACTAATAATAATAACAATAACAATAACAATAATCATAATAATAACAATAATAATGATAATGATAATAATAATAATAATAATAATAATAATAATAACAATAATAATGATAATGATAATGATAATAATAATGATAATAATGATACTAATAAATATGAAGATGAGCAAAGCGAGTGAAAATCGAGAAGTTAGCGTCAGAGCCCAAGGCTTTAAGCAGATCTAAAGCACCAAGAGGTCGTCTTCGTTTGGCCGGGCGCCGGGCTGCGCCTCGTCCTCTTCGTAGCCCAGGAGCGGGAAGGTCTCCACCTTGCCCGTCTCGTTGCCGTGGCTCACCAGCGTCCTGGCCGGTTTTAAGGAACACGTCTGGCCATGGGTTGCATAGCCTATGGCTTCATTTTGGGGTGGATGAACATCCATTTGCCACCTATTTTGATGTTCACATCCAAAATCGTTCCCCCAGTGAACATCCGATTCAATCCAACCACTGAAATAGGTTCTAAGATGGTGATGAATTCACCAATCCCAACCAACCAACATGGGATGCCATTGGTTTTGACAACCACAGCCACATCTGGCTTTCAAAACATAGGCTTTCGCGGTCGGCTGACTTTGGCCCAGGGTCACCATCACGACTTGGGTTGTTTGTTGTTCAGCAGTGAATGGCAAAACGAATACCCCAAAAGGCCACAGACGATCGCAACACCGAACCACCCGACAACTTACCCGGGCAGAAAGAGGCTCTCTTTGGGAGCTTGGACAAGACATAGCACAAGCAATGCAACCTCATTCCGAAGGAACCTTCATCAACCCCTGTCGATCCGGCAGGTTCTAGCTGCCTGCTTCCACCCCCTCACAACGCTTGACTTCTCGAAACCGGCCACGTTTCTTCCTTTTGCTCCACAACTTTGGCAAAGGTGGCATCCTGACCACTCGCATTCGATCAGCCGAATCCAGGCGGCGCAATGCCAATCCCTCGGCGCAGTACGTGCGGCCCAAGAATGGCACCGACTGCGTGCCATGAAGTTCCGCACGGGCAAACCTCAGCCTGTCCATGCCACAATGGTATTTTGTCTGGCCCATTGCTCAAGTTTCTCAGCTTCTCACTCGCCCTCTCTTTCAACACATTTCTGGGTATTTGCAAAATAGGGGGGGTCCGTTGTTGGATAATTTGCAGGGAAACCATGTATGTATATATATATATATATTTATATGTATATATATATATATGTATATATATTATATGTATACGAGATGTGAACGGATGCATCAACCTGCAGATCAATAAAACTGGCCTTCCCCCCAAACAACAAAACTTCGCCTCTCTCAAATGGGACACCCCCGCCCCGCCTTCTCTCCAGGGTGAGGATGGTGGGGACCCCTTGCTTACATGTGTTGAAACACGCCTTGTTGCAGCAAGATCCTTTTGGCGTCCTTTCAAAGGGCACCATGTTTCGCCAACTTTCAACGCTGCGCCAATTTTGCCAATGGTCCCGGTGACTTTTCGCCCGTTTTGCCCCGCGCCCCCCCCCAATTTTTCGCTCCCGCACTCCTCGTGGAGGCCGGCTTGATCACGAAGCAGCCCACCTCCTCGAAGTCATCCCCCGCCGCCACACCCAAGACCTTCCTGGCGTCCAAAGTGTTCGTAACGTAGCCCGCGAAACCGACAGCTTGGACATCCCAAAATGGATGGGTTACGAACCCATCCATTCTGGGATGTCCCCCATTTTTGTCTTTTAAATTTTGTGGGGACATCCCGAAATGGATGGGTTCCCAGTGGTTTCCCTGTCGTTTTTCAGTGGATTCCCTTGTTCCCCTATGGTTTTCCGGTGGTTGTCCTCCCGTTGGCGTCCCATTCGCTCCCTCTGGTTCATTCTGCTTTGCCTTGTGGGTTCCTTCCGGTTTCCCTTGGAACTCTTGGCCACCCAAGCACGTCAATCGCATCGACTCGCCCACACATTGACACGCGCCTGTGCCCAAACCGCTGCACGACTTATCCGCGAGCACCTTTTATTTTGAGGGAACCCGCTTTTCTTTTGGGGTGGTTTCAAAAAGCAACCAAAAGGAAACTTCCAAAGCCGTCGCGCCTTCTTTTTTCTTGGGCGGGTGTCCCCTGCCTTGCGCCACACTGGAAGCCATCGCCCCACTTCCGGCCTCTCATCCCGGTCCAAGATCCGCACGATGAGCGGCGGAAAGGGCACGAAGGAGCCCATCTGACGGGCCGATCCACAGGTCACGAGACCGCGAGGAAGCAGCCCATAACGGCTTGACGTGGTGTCAAAAAATGGTGGGCCCTCTTTGGGTTGGAAGGGGAAACCAAAGGGAACCATCCTGGAGGTCCCTACTCGTACTTTTTCCCCAAATGAGTAGGACCTCATGAGAACCAAACCTTTTTTTCCATCTGGTGTTCCCCTTTTGTTCCCTGCCCTAACCATCTGGACCCATGAGATCCATGTTTTCTCCCCCCAGAAGCCCTCGTTGCTCATGGGCACCGATCCGGGCCACCAGACCAATGGAAGGTTTGCGGTCGGCTCCGGCTCCACCTGGCGCGAGGCGGGTTTTCCACATGCGAAGGAAAATGTGCCCAAAATTACCGAAGGGTCTAGGGGGACCTCCAACATTGGCCCTTACAAAAGGGCCACGCCCATTGGTTCCATGTAAGGCGCCATTTGGCGACCATTTGGCTACCGCCGCTCCGAGGCTCCGAGGCTGGGCTTATGCACCTTGACATGGACCAAGCCGCCGGCCTCCATCTCAATAGGAATGCAAACGCGGTGCATGAAGGACGGGCCTCAGAACCGGAGAACGGGCGAGAACCCCATCTCATTACACCACACCCTTGAAAGCTCGGAGCATCGGCATCTGGGCATGTGACTCAAAAAAAGGAGACCCCTTGTCCCCCTCCCCTTAAGCCAAGGTGAATGAGGGGGACCCCCACCCCACAAAAACACACACACGCACACACACACACACACACACACACATGGCCATGGGTCAAAATCCAAATCGTAGCCCCAGTGAACATCCCAATCCCCACTAAAATAGATTCTAAAACGGGTGGTGAATTCACCTACCAACCAAAATGGTATCCCATTGGTTTGACCCACACACACACACACACATCTAGGTATTGAGCGCCTTGGGCAGCTCTTCGGCCACCTTGTCCCGCATGACCGGCATGACCCACTGGCCGGGAGCACGGCTCAGGGACTTCATGATGCCCGAGGGGAACAGCACCGTCTGCGCAGCGTGAGCTCGGGTGAAGGCTTGAGACCTGTACAAACAAATTAAGTCAACCGGGATGCCCAACAAATGCCAAGCCAAAACTCGAAAAACAAACAGTTTTAGCCAAGTGACCAGCCAATTTTTGTCTGAGAAGTTCAATTGGCAGCCGAAGGCATGAGGAGTGCACAGAAAAAACCGCTGTAAATGCCACCATGTTCCCTTTGTCGCAGGGAATATAAGAGGGAAGGCCATGTGAACACAAAATTTCGCTCCCAAGGCAACACCCCAATGGTTCGTGACTTCAGGCGTGAGACTACACTGCGCTTCCAGAAATCTGCGAGCTGACAAGATGTTCGATCTGGGCCCCCATGAACAAGTGCAGGGAGCTCGGCGGAAGAGTGCTATTGCAGCCTTGCATGTACCATGTTTGCTCAAAGGCCACAAGCCTTCGTGGAAAAGTAGGGTTCACTCTGATGAGTTACTGGGGACACTGGGTTGCAAGTCTACTAAAAATAGTTGGCTTGCGGCTGTTCGTGCAGCCCTAGAGGCGGACACAGCTAAACTGTGTGGCTCTCTCTTCAAACTCGCCCAAACCCATGCTCAAATGCTTGGCACAACATTGGCTTTGAAACTTACCGGGTGGTTTGGCAGACCATGCCTCAGGGTTGTCACTCAGTTGGAGTCCCTTGCAAGTCACTGCCAACATCCAAGAGCCCAACGGCCTACTTCTTGCTGACGAAGCACCCAGAAAGTTGGCCTTTGGCCAAACTTTGGCGGGTTCACATGGAACATCGGTCCTTCAGCAAACCATTCGAACCGAACTCATTCTGCGTGGGTCAAGCTTGAACACTTGACTCGTGCTGCACATCATTCATAACTCATAACTACGCCCTAGAAGGGATGAGGATGTGTTTGCCCAAAGATATCCATGGAGGTTGCACCAGCTGGTGGATTGAAAACGTCATTCAGTGTCTGCCACGTGATTCTTGGTGTCCCCAGTCCATGCTTTCAGCCGTGGATCTCGGTATAAATTCATGCCGAGTGCAATGGTGAACGCAAGCGTCACGAGCACGCATAGAATCAAGCGGTAGTCGCCATCGCCTTCAGACATGCCACCATGATCCTTGCCAATAATCGCATCGGCACCCCACACTCCAATCCCATCGATGACCATCATGACCTCAAGGTGTTTCTCTGAAAAACACGGAAGAATGACTCTAACAAACTTCAGGGAATTGGTCCAAAGTTCTCAAACAGGGCCTTCCCACAACCCCTTACACATTCACAGAGACTATGTGTTGCTGCCCCGCGGCAGACTTCAGCATCAGGAGTCTGGAGAGCGGCGTTGGGAAGATGCAGCCAGAGGCCACGATCACGCCGACCCAGTAGTGGTGCATGTGAAAGTCCTCCGAGAAGACGACCACGAGGAACCCGTGAAAGAGGATCACCAGCAGCAAGTAGATGAGGTAGTGCCGCTGGCCCCGGAAGTTTAAATGGACCTCGGGGTTCGGCTCGCCCACGGCAACCTTCGCCATCTGAAAAAGCTTGTGGAAGCACCGGCGCAGGCTTGGGAGGCCTTCGCACATCAGAATGAGCAGCGTCAGCAGCGTCGTCATGGCGATGAAGACGTCGAAGAAGCCGAAGGTGCTGTCCGCGGAGAGGCTGTGAGCCATGAACTCCTCGCAGTTCTTCCAAACGAACTTGTTGCTGAGAAACTCGCAGAAGGCCACTGCAACAAACAAGGCGCGGTGCTGTGGCTCGCTTGGCGGGACCTTGCACAGCCACGCCAGGATGATGCTGCCGCAGAGCAAGTGGAGCAGATTTCGGAGATGAGATTCAGCGGTCTGATCCTCGACTTTCCAGCAAAACCACTCGTACTGCTCACAATCACTGAAGCCGCGGACGACCCCATAGCCGAAGATGGGAAAGCAGCACCAGAGAAAGAGGCCAATCGATGGCTTGGCAAACTCCAAAGACCACCTGGGCCACTGCCCCATGGTCTCAGTCGCATCGGCGTTTGAAGGCTCGGGGGTGGAAATTCCCTCGAACCTCTGCAAAAGCGCCAGCTTCACATTCCGAATGGATTGAATGCTGTAGACCCAGCATGCCAGAAGAGGCAGTGTATAGAAAGCTGCTGCTGCAGCGCAACTTGAATCCACCATGGCAGGAGCACGAAAGGTCAGAGCCTGTGGTCTTGTGCTGCCTTAAAGTTCTTGGCTTCTTGGGCATGGAACATCCATCTCTGTGGAGGCTCGGAATATGGTTACTTCTTGCTACAATTGGACTTGCCACCTACTATGCCTATTGAGGCTACCTGGACGGGCAGCAACGGGATGAAGAAACTGAAGCAGATCATACTATGGATGAACGAAATCCTGCACCATGTAAGAAACCCTGGAAAGATGATTCCCCTGTAAGTACCAACCAACAGTGGTTTTCCATGGATCCAAAGTCACGCAGGATTTGGTCCATCCACAGTATTACTAGCTTGGCTGCATTGGGGGGGGGGGGGGGAGGGGGTTCTTCATGTAGAACCTTGTACACTGCAGTGGTATACCGGGCGCTGCGCGATCCTAATGTTGATCAGCTTGGAACAAATACTGAATCTGAAGCTGGTCTTCAAAGTTGATCTGTGCCCCTCTAAAGACCGGACTTGTTGTGTCAATCACGTTTCCTAGAAGGCATCCACAGGCATGGAAAAGTCCATGTGCACCGACTGGACGAACCCTTCATTTTGAAAAGAGCCTGTAACCGCTGGAGATCGCTTATCCTGATCGGTCAAGCACCAACTGAACCAGTGGAATCGATTGGTTTCCTTCAAACATGATAAAAACCCACAAAGGAGTGCCGTGCCGTTTTTTTTCCCGTGCCGTTGTTGTTGCTTTTTTTTCCCGGCCAGGTGTTGCCGTGCTTTCCCGGCCAGGTCTTCCGAGATATTCCGCCCAATTGCTCCAAGTGACTCCATGCCTTTTGGGATGCGAAGAAAATGGCTGGCTGCGGACCGGCCGAAAGGAGGTTTTCAAGGCCAACCGTTCGGAGCTGAGCCTAGACTTCCCCAGTTCTTCCAGCCAGGTTCTCCAAGTTGTTGCAGTCAGTTTCTCCTGACTTCGTGTCTTTTCTAAAGGCTTCTAAACGCAACTTTGAAGAGCATGTCCATCTTCCGAGTTCCTATCATCCTGTCATTGTTTGGCTCTTTTTTCAAGGTTTTCGGCCAGCTTTTCCCGCTAGTTGTTCCAAGAGTTTCCTTTTGTCAACCAGCTTTCCACACCTTTCCCTGAGCATCTCCGGCAAGTTTGCCCGAGGATCCGAGCATCGCCGGCCAGTTCCACAGAGACACTCAAATGACTCAAATGCGCTTGGCATGGCCCTCAGAAACACTCAGACCCCAAGCTGCGCGCATCTGACCAGATCCGCCCGAGTCAGACGGACAGTATCATGGCTTTCAGAACCGGTGAAGACTCCCCCGTCCGCACACGGGCTTTCCTGACCAACCAAAACCAAAAGTGGCCCTCAAGAGGCACAAGAACTGCATTCCGCTTCCTTTTTTCACACCTTCAAAACAGGCTCCAACAGACCCCCCCAGGCTAAAAAAGGCTCAAGAAACCACGACCCCCCCGCCCCTCCCCTGCTCCGCGGCCAGCGCCTGGTCCTTGACCTCCAGCTTGTAGCTGGGGTCCACGAGCCCATCATCGTCCATGGCCGGCAGCTCCCGGGCCTGCAGCAGGTCCATGTGGAGCCACACCTCACGCTCGACGCTCGCTCGATGCTCCAGGCCACAAAAAAGGGCGGGTGGTAAATGGGCGGTAATTTGGGGGGTGTTGCAGGTTTTGAAGGCGTTTTGAGGCTTTGAAGGCGTGTTGAGGTTTTGGGGCAAAAAGCATCGATGGCCCGGGGAAATGGAATAAAACTCATCTGAAGCCCAGCCGGAGTTTAGGGTTTGGCATGGGTGACCTTCTGAAAAAATCGATGGGTCAATGGAATGAAACCCAAACCAGTGCCATGTATTTCTATCCAAACTGTACGGACACCTACGCTTGGGGGGTTGGACACGGCGTCGAAGCACTTGGAGGGTGCTGGAAAGGCCCTTGGCATCTTCGAGCGTGACTGAATCACCGAACGAAGCGGGGGCAAAATACGCCCATGCGCAACACAAAAAAAGCTGTACAAGTGAAGGTCTAGATGACCCTCTGAGCCCCTTCTGTATCAAGGAGTTGCGCAAATTCGGGCAAAATGGCAGACCTCATTGAGGATCGCCGTGTACTCTAGGCACACAAGCAAACGGGTGCCTTTCCAAGTATGAGGGGAAGACCAACACAGAACCCAAGCCGGTTGAATTGGGCCGCCGCTTCACTGAGCATTTTCCCTGCCACGGCATGGCAGGTACTACGTGTCTCCCATTTTCTCCCAAACAGCGGCACATGTGATCTTCCAAGCAGAGGCACGGAAATGCTCCCAGCTTCACACCTTCATCCAAAAGGGCTCCTGAAACAAAATTATTGAAATAGCAAACCATACTGAACCCTGTCCGAGCAACAGCTATCCGACATTCCTCCCAACCCTGGTCCATACTGGAACCCAGTCCAGCAACGCTTGGACCTGCTCCGGTCGCTGAAAAGAAGTCATTGCGGATTTCCAAAACATACCCTGCAGGGGTGGCAAAAACACTGAAAACCTCGTGAAATCGACACCAAAACCACACCCGAGGAACCTGACGCCCAACAAGCAAAATCTGTCAGGATGTGACTATAAAGAACTCTCAAACCAACTCTTGCCCATGGGGGGGGGTTAGAGTTACCCCACAATTGTGGATCCGAATATTCTTGTTGGGGGTTGATCTTTTGGACGCAAACCTGGACTAGCACAACCCCACAAGTCATAAGGGCCCTGGCCTGATCTGATTCATCAAGGCGGGTTTTCATGTGAGAGTTCATGTCCAACCATGAGTTGGATCCACTCAAGTCCCATTACATTCCTTTTATTCCTCATGTATCATTTATCAAGTTCCAACTCTTAAACTTCCATTTGCACATTCCTTTCACCCGAACGGGAACGCCCCCGTGCGCCACGTCCGACGTCGGCTCACGTCGCAGCCGGGCGCCGGGCGGTGCGCTTCCGCTCGGGGCGCTGCAGCTGGCAGCGCACGTCCTCGCCCATGGAGGCCCGACACACCTCCCGGAACCAGTTCAGCGGCGCAGGCCCCGATGCGCGAGGGAGGGGGGGCGTCTGGGGGGGAGCCCCGCACGCAGCCCGCGGTGGAGAAGAGCGCGCGCGTGGGGGGTGTTCTGGGGGGTCTGGGGTTGGGGGGGTGAGGGGGGGTTTCTTGTCTGGGGGTTGGGGTTGGGGTTGTGGTGGGTTTTTGTTCTTTTCCGCGTGTTCGGTTTGGGAAGTGGCAAGTTCAAAAAAGTCAAGGGTTTTGAGGGAGAAGCTGCTTTGTGGATGTGGGATGTGCCATTTTTAAGCAGGGAAAGAGCAGTTTGCTTGCCCAAATGGTGGGACGCCACAAAATAGACACACCCTCGCAAACCGGGTGGGCGTGGTTTGTTTTTGGTGTTAAAGTTTGGCATTCATCTGGAGCAGCTACGGAACAAAACTTGGCGACCGCCCAGAGTTCAAACATGGCTTCAATGAAGTTTGAATCTCGACTGCTTGTGTTTCGTTTGAGGCGATGCATGTTGCAGTCCGTTGGGCGTATCACCCCTGCATGCCCATATTATATACTGGCAAACAGTGTGCATACAAGTATATTTGCAACACATCACATCGGACCAAACAATACAACATGTTTCGGGCACAGTGTTCGTCTCGAACAGAAATACAAAGGCCAAGAAAAATCAGCAAGACCAGGAAACGACCAGAAAAAGACCAGGAAAAGACCAAGCTGTGGCATACCGGGCGAAGAACACCTGGAGAGCCCTTGCGGCGCACGGGGCTGACTGTTGGGCGACCAAAGTGCACAGCGCTGGGACCCAGCCTTGCCCAATCCACATGGCGCAGAGAGGATCATGTTCCTTTGCAGTCAGAGAGAGTGCTCTTTCACTTCCACAGGACTTGAGGGAACTGCGCCCGGGGCTTCCGCAGCGCAAAAAAGACGATGTTGCTAAACATTGTCGAAGTCGCTGCGGCCCTGAACAACAGGCTCAGACCACATGCAGATTGGGAGTCCGAGTTCTGCGCAAAACATATAAAAACACCCGTCTTGCCAAACAGTTTCTTGTCGACGCTGGTACATGGCTAAAAATAGTTCTCCCCGTCTTCCCAAATCGACTTTCACAACCCGTGCCAATCCCCACTTTCCCCCCAACTTCAAAGCTGGGGCGCGCCCCTTGGTTTTGGAAGCCTGCGAAAAACAATCCTCGACAACATCGAAGTTGGGGGGCAAGGGATGCGTGGGGAAGATAGTTGGGCGAGAGCAGATGGGCAATTTGTTGGCAGGACCTCTCAAACACGAGGCTCAAAGACTTCCCCTACTTTCATGCTCATCGCTGACTACATGCTGCTTCTGTTTTGACACCTGGAACGGTCTTTGCAGTGTCAGTCTCCTTTGTGGAGACATGGATGCATGGACTTGATCTAAATACAAGTGTATACATACCTCGACATGTATATATATATATTACATATACATATACATATACATATACATATACATATGTATATATATATACATATATATATATATCGCTTATACCCATATATGTTCAGGCACAAACAAGTAATTACGACACGGGGGCGGCCAACGTCGATTGGCTCCCCCCGGCCTGGGAGGTCATGGCGCAGCCTAGCACGGGCCCGGGGAGGCAGTCTCCAGCTTCCCCATCTGCTTTGAAAATCGACTCGAGCAAAATCATTCTAGGGGTACCTTCCATTTGCAGTCTTTCCAGGGATCCGGATCTTTCTAAAAATAAGCTCAGGCGATACCCCCAACAGCACCACACCCTCCCGCGGAACGCCCTGCGACCGGTTTTGCTGAGAGCAAAGCTAAGAGTGACAGCGCAATCGCGCCCTGATCGGGCCCCCGACAGCGCAATCGGGGCCCGATCGGGGCCCAACGGCGCAATCGGGGCCCGACGGTGCAATCGGGGCCCAAGCGGGGCCCGACGGCGCAATCACGCCCGACCGGGGGCCCGATGGTCCCGTGGTGCAAGCGGGCTCCCACCAACCCAGCCACATATTATAGCTCAAAGCCGGTTTTTTGTATCCAGCAAAACTAGGCCATGCAAGCTTGGTACAGTTGACGCGGCCCGACTGAGTCCGGCCCCGATCGGGGCCCCGACGGCGCAATCGGGCCCGATCGGGCCCCGACGGTGCAATCGGGCCCCGACTCAGTATTGCCAAGCATTTACTCTGCTGCACAGTGAGAGTCCCGCAGCAACGTGATCTGATTTGCAACAAAGCCAACATTTCGGGCCGCATTGCCTGAAGAAGTGAGCAAGTCACAAAACATTGAAAGTGTGCTGAGAACCATGAACTTCGGTTTTGCTTAGTGTTCCGCCCATGAGCAAGGCGATCTTCTGAGCACGACACATTGTTTTTCTTTAGGGCAAAGCATGGAACCTTGCACCCTGCTCGAACTTTGGCGGAGCTTTTGTGCAACCTTCTCAAACCACCCCGGACTACCGCAGAATTTGGTGGAACCCTGGCGGAATTAGGTGGAACCTGGTCGAACCCTTGTGTAACCTTACGTTGAACGAACCATGGTGGGTGGAAACCACCCCGGACCCCCCGCAGCCCTGGCAGAACCTGGTCAAACCCTGGTGCAACTGTCGAACCTTACCTCAAACCACCCCAGACCACCCCTCGCAGAACCTGGTGGAACCCTGGTGGAACCCTTGTGGAACCTTGCCTCAAACCGCCTCAGACCACCCCGCAGCCCTCGCAGAACCTGGTGGAACCCTGGTGGAACCCTCGTGGAACATTACCCCAAACCACCCCGGACCATCCCGTAGCCCTCGCAGAAGTTGGTGGAACCCTCGTGGAACCTCAAACCACCCCGGACCACCCCGCAGCCCTTGCAGAACCCCTGGAAACCTCTCGTCTCGTGGAACCTTACCTCAAACCACCCCGCACACCCCGCAGCCCTCGCAGAACCTGGTGGAAAATTGGTGGAACGCTCGTGGAACCTTGCCTCAAAACCCCGCTGCCCTCGTAGAACCTGGTGGAACCCTGGTGGAACCCTTGTGGAACCTTACCTCAAACCACCCCGGACCACCCCGCAGCCCTCGCAGAACCTGGTGGAACCCTGGTGGAACCCTGGTGGAACCCTTGTGGAACCTTACCTCAAACCACCCCGGACCACCCCGCAGCCCTCGCAGAACCTGGTGGAACCCTGGTGGAACCCTTGTGGAACCTTACCTCAAACCACCCCGGACCACCCCGCAGCCCTCGCAGAACCTGGTGGAACCCTGGTGGAACCCTTGTGGAACCTTACCTCAAACCACCCCGGACCACCCCGCAGCCCTCGCAGAACCTGGTGGAACTCTGGTGGAACCCTTGTGGAACCTTACCTCAAACCACCCCGGACCACCCCGCAGCCCTCGCAGAACCTGGTGGAACTCTGGTGGAACCCTCGTGGAACCCTCGTGGAACCTTACCTCAGGGCCGCCCCGGACCACCCCGGACCCTATCTGGGCTGAGACCCCAAAGCTTTCAGCTGTTGGGGAAAAACCTCCATAAACCCAGGGGAAACGGCCGATTTTTGAAAAGAACGATGGTTGAAAAGAATGGGGAATCAAACCCTAGAATCATGCCCTGCCGAAGTCCCTGAGTTCAACCTACACGAAAACCGGTCATGCTCTCCTTTTTCGAGGGAAGTGAAAAATAGGAAAGAAGGAAAACAACAGCAACGCCCACTTACGAGATGATTGGAAGTCAGACAATACATAGCCGTGTTTGGACTTTGGTTAGTATCGTTCTCCTTGTCAAATGAATCTCACCAGGGGGCAAGGGAATAAATAATACCCTATGTGTGATCAAGCTGCCTCAGGCTGAAGTGTAGCCAAGGGCAAACGTCTGCAAAGGGAATTTGATGGATCCATTGTTTTGGGGTCGACAAAATCGGGCTGGACCGTCCTGTTCAAAAAGGCCTCCTGTCCACGTCTATGCTTGTTCAGCGGGTACTAACCCAGCAATGACCCCCCGTTGATTGGTGTGCCTCATTAGGAACCATGAGGAACTGGTTCCTCACCCCCTGCAGGCTGATTCAGTCGACACTAATCATTGTCCTAGAGCCCAAATCCATAGAACGGGGGTTGTGGGGTGGGATTAAACCAAATTAGTTCATAACCCGGGAGAACAACAAACATTGTAATCATTGGCTTTGCAATTGTTCGGCCCCCGTTGCATTTATTTAGCCCTGATCCTGGGACCATACTAATCAGTGGCTTCCCTTTCAGTGTGGGATCAATGTTCATTTCAGAAAACTCCTTTGAGCCGCTCCGAACTTCACGTTTCGCCTGATACGTTTAGCCGCGCTCTCGCTCGGCCCCGGGCAGCTGGTCTGTGCGGAGGGAAGCATCGAGGGCCTCGATGCGAAGCCACGATCCAAGGGCAGGACGCAATTCGCACCAAGAGGCAGTTGCTAGATGCAAAAAGGCGATCTTGCTAGAGCCAATCCAGCCGCTCACGCGTCAAAAGAAAGATCGCAAACACGGATTCTCACTCAGTCTGTGAAGTGCTTGCCGGGGGAAGACTCGCGCCTGCAAGAGGGATCATGGGCCACAACACGGATCTTGAAGTTAGCAAACGTACGTCAGTACTTTCCAGGCAGCTGTCATACCGTCACTGATTGTCTCAGATATCTAGTGATGATGGCAGAGGGCTGGTTTCCTGACTCATGCCAAATCTCCCGAATCATCTGGCAAATCTGTTCATAAACCTGTCTGAGAAATCAACCTCTTTACTGGGCCACATGTTACTTCATGTGACTCGACGGGAATCAAGATGATGCTTTGGTTGGCCAGAGAACTGGACTTGCCTCGGAAGCGAAAGTAGCATGCCCTGGAAGCAAACAAATATCTTACGATGCACAGCAAGACTCGGCAACCCCGATCGCAAACATCAACTTCCGAATACGGCAAGATGGCGACACCCCCTCAGCATGGCGAAAAATGAAAAAGAAAGAAACAAAGAAACGAACAAACGAACAAAGAAACAAACAAAAAAACAAACAAACCAAAAAAAAAAGAAGAGCAAACAAACAAAGCACCAAGCAACCAACCGAGCAAACAACCGAGAAACCAACCGAGTAACCAAGCAAACAGCCAAAAAACCAAACAACCAAGCAACCAAGCAACCAAGCAACCAAGCAACCAAGCAACCAAGCAACCAACAACCAACCAACCAACCAACCAACCAAGCATCCAGCCAAGCAAGCAAGCAAGCAACGAAGCAACCAAGATACCAACCAAGCAACCAACCCAGCAACTAACCAACAAACCAAAAGAGCAAGCAAGAAACCAACCAAGCAACTAAGCAAGCAAGCAAGCAAGCAAGCAAGCAACCAAGCAACCAAGCAAGCAAGCAAGCAAGCAAGCAATCAAGCAACCAAACAACCAAGCGACCAAGCAACCAAACAAGCAACTAAGCAACCAAGCAACCAAGCAGCCAAGCAACCAAGAAACCAAGCAGCCAAGCAACAGACCAACAAACCAAAAAAGCAACCGAGCAACCAACAAACTGAAATAGCAACCGAGCAACCAAGCAACCGAGCAACCAAGAGCGAGCAACCAAAAAACCAACCAACAAACCAACCAACCAACCAACCGACCAACCAACCATCCAACCGACCAACCAACCATCCAACCAACCAACCAACCAACCAACCAAGCAAGCAAGCAAGCAAGCAACCAACCAACCAACAGACCAACCAACCCAAAACCAAGCAACCAAGCAACAAACCAACAAACCAAAAACGCAACCGAGCAACCAACCAACCAACCAACAAACCGACAAACCAAAAACCAACCGAGCAACAGAGCAACCGAGCAACCAAGAGCGAGCCACCAAAAAACCAACAAACCAAGCAGCCGAGCAACCAAGCAACCAAACAACCAAGCAACCAACCAACAAACCAACCAACCAACCAACAAACCAACCAACCAACCAAGCAACAACCCAAAAAAGGAACCAAGCAACCAACCAACCAACCAACCAACCAACCAACAAACCAAAAAAACGCAACCGAGCAACCGAGCAACCGAGCAACCGACCCACCAAGCCACCAAGCAACCAACCAAAAAGGCAACCGAGCATCCGAGCAATCAAGCAACCAGCCAACAAACAATTAAGCAACCAACCAGCAAACCAACCAACCGCCATCCAACCGACAAACCAAGAAAGCAACCGAGCAACCGAGCAAAAAACCGTGCAAGCAACCAGGCAAGAAATAACCAACCCACCAACCAAAAACGCAACCGAGCAACCAAACAACCAGGCAACCAACCAACAAACTAACCACGAAACAGCAAACCAACAAGCAACCAAGCAAGCAAGCAACCAAACAACCAACAGACCAACCAACCAACCAACCAAGCAACCAAGCAACAAACCAACAAACCAACAAACCAACCACGCAACAGAGCAACCAGCCAACCAACCAACCAACCAACAAACCAACCAACCTACCAACCATCCAACCAACCAACCAACCCACCAACCAACCAAGCAAGCAAGCAAGCAAGCAAGCAAGCAAGCAAGCAAGCAAGCAAGCAAGCAAGCAACAAACCAACCAAGCAACCAACCAACCACAAAAGCAACCAAGCAACCAAGCACGCAACCAACCAACCCACAAACCAAAGAAGCAACCAAGCAACCAAACAACTAAACAACCAGCCAACCAACAGACCAACCAACCCAAAACCAAGCAACCAAGCAACAAACCCACCAACCAACCACCAAACCAAAAAAGCAACCAAGCCACAAACCAACCACCAAACCAAAAAAGCAACCAAGCCACAAACCAACCACAAACCAAAAACCAAGAAACCAAAGAACAACCAAGCAACCAAACAGCAAGCAAGCAAGCAAGCAAGCAAGCAAGCAAGCAAGCAAGCAAGCAAGCAAGCAAGCAAGCAAGCAAGCAAGCAAGCAAGCAAGCAAGCAAGCAAGCAAGCAAGCAACCAACCAACCAACCAACCAACCAAGCAACAAACCAAAATCCAACCAAGCAACCAACCAACCAACCAATACACAATCCAAAAAACAGTCAACAAACAAAAAAAAAACAACCAACCGAAATCCAGCCAAGCAACCAACCAACCAACACACCATCAAACAAACAGTCAACAAACCAAAAAAGGCAACCAACCGAAATCAAACCAACCAAGCAACCAACCAACAAACCAAAAAAGCAACCAACAAACCAACAAAAAGCAACCAACAAACCAACAAAAAGCAACAAACCAAAATCTAACCAAGCAACCAACCAACCAACCAATAAAAAATCAAAAAAAAAACAGTCAACAAACCAAAAAAGAAACAACCAACCGAAATCCAGCCAAGCAACCAACCAACCAACCAACCAACCAACCAACCAACCAACCAACCAACCAACCAACCAACCAACCAACCAACCAACCAACCAACCAACCAACCAACACATCAAAAAAAAATCGACAAACCAAGAAACACAACCAACCGAAATCCAACCAAGCAAGCTACCAACACACCAACCAACAAACCAAAAAAGCAACCAAGCACGAACCAACAAACCAACAAACCAACCAAGCAACAAACCAACCAAGCAACCAACCAACAAACCAACAAACCAACCAACAAACCAAAAAAGCGACCAACAAACCAAAAACATCAACCAAGCAAAATCCAACCAACAAATCAACGAAAGATCCAAAAAGGCAACCAAGCAAGCAACAGAGGCCTGAATGTTAGGTCCCGCACTTCGAGCCGCAAAGGCCCCACGAGGGCGCGCTGGCAGGCCTCGGCTCTTCGCTTCGCTCGATCGACCCCCGCGACCCGATGATCCGGTTGGGCTATCCCAGGAATCGAAAGAAGAGCACCTTAGGTATCCCAGGACCGAATGGATTAGGTCTCTCAGGAATCAAAAATAGGTATCCAAGGTATCTACTAGGGTATCCATTGGAGGTATGTCAGGTATCCCAGGTTGAGTTAAGAGTACCAGGAACAACTAGGACGTTGAACCGTGAAGTCATTGGGTAAGCCCGAGCAATGAGACAATGAGACATGAACCCGCTGAGAAAACCTTGAACCTGGAAAACCTCAAAAACCGGTATTAAAATGGTTGACCCAGAACCATGCACGAAGGCGGATATCCGCAACTATTTGTGGCTGGGATTGTCCCTTACAAACCTTCATCTACCCGGGTTTTGATTGTGGCTCACCTCATGACTACGAGCAATTGCTGACGTGGTCTGAGCTTGCCCGCCGATCTTGACCAGACTTGACCGCAAGCTGGCTCTCAGATCAGCTTGACAAGGGTTTATGCGACTCCGGCAGCCATAACTTTTGACACTTTTCTCTGGGTTCCCGACTACTTACCCTCCTACCGACTAACATGGAAGTGCACAGACCCCTGTAGAAAGACGACTTTCCTCTTGGAATGGGGGTTTCTGCACTGACCCATGTGAGTTGGTGGCCGTAAGTGACTTCGTCAGCTACGAAGCCCTCAGTCCCTCAGGTCCACAGGTCCCGGGCGGCTGGCCAACTGGCGCAACGACACGGTGGCAAGGTCCATGACGAGCCAAAAGACGTGGCAGGCAGTAATCCAACTGGCACCTTGGCACCTTCTGTCAAAACAAATACGAGGTTGACGTGTGTACAATATGGTTGATCTGCCGAACATGAGGCACCTGCATCAAGACATGGCAAGTGGCCGGTCTCAGTGTGGGCTTGAGTTGGGAATCGATCACAGTTGACAGTATCCAGCAACAAGAAACTCAACCGGGCAACTCTGAAATTCCACTGCTACATCTGCCATGCTTCATGGAAGTGCCTTGCTGGCGACATGTTGTGTCAGCTCCTAGTGGCTTCGTCTTCCGACGTGTGAGGGCTTGGAAACGTGGCAGCCCACTTTTTAGCGAACAACATGCAGGCCAGGCCCAACCCCCCAGCGGGTTTGGGCCTTTGGGCTCCTGTTCCTGCACACTGGCGCAGCCCAGAAGGAAGCCCGCCAGGTCCGACTTGTAGTATGCCTGGCTGTTCCGTGCATGGAAATCTCGTGTCCAACCATCTGAATCTTTGCAATAGGACGTGCCCCTTTTTTTTAATTTCATCTATAGTGAAAAATAAGACATGTGTCAAACAAAAAAAGGCTGTGGTTCATGAGAACTCTGGTAAACCGCCTTGGCCAGGGTATTGGCTAGCGGCTATTGAAACTCTGGTGGGCGTGAGTCTAGTGCTTTGCCTGATGGTGGCCACGAGCAACACTTGATTCCGCAGAACTGTTCGCAGGCCGTCTCGCATTTCTAATCGAGGGCGGGAACCGGGTGAAACTGCCGGAATTTGTTCAGAATGCAGGAGCTCAACAATGACTTGCAACATTGTGCTTGGCATTGAACAAATCATCTGCAAGGTCAAAATAATTTGCGCTCTGTGCTTGAATGTCACAACAAATACCTTGAAAGTAAGCTGCCACCTGCATCAACCTCAACCAACCTGCCGCATGCTCAGTTCGGATGAGAAAAAGCACAATCGCGTCTCATTGCTGATTTAAAACGGATCTTCCTTGCTGAAATTATGCAAGCAATCTATACCAAACTGGCCAAGGCACGTCCCCTCTACGCAATGCAAATCGGATCTTGAACGAACGTCAACTACGACATCAAAACCGAATCTCAATCGAAAAGCGAACATCAGAATTCTGAATCCACAAGTCCAAAGAGAAAACTCGAAAGCCAAACATTCTACAATAATAACAATAATCATATTAATAATGATAACAATAATAACAATAATAATAATAATAATAATAATAATAATAATAATAATAATAATAATAATAATAATAATAATGATAACAATAATAATAATGATAACAATAATAACAATAATAACAATAATATTAATAATAATGATAACAATAATAACAATAATAATATTGATAATAGAACAGGAAGGGAACAGGAAGGAACAAAAACTGACTTGCCCCGCCTCGGGCAGCTCCACTACGGAGGTGTCGAAGTGGAGGGTCTTCCACTTGGGCGGCACCTGCCGGGTCGGACGATCACATCCACGATGCTTCGGCCGTGGAATAAAATCACGGAGGGATGTACCAACTAGTTGGGTTTTGCCAGTATTGGAAAAATGCATGAACAACCCGTGGGCTGGGGGGGGGGGAGAGTGGGGGCCGTTCCAGGCGGGATGCAAAGGGATGCAAGCGGTGTTTGCGACAGGAAAGTACCCGCAGACTTGGAATGTAGCAATGTCGAGTTTTTGCCAGTGAAAGACCCATGAAAGGAAAGTACCCACTTGCAGGGGTCGTATCCCCGCGAACGAACGTGTCCCGGGGGCTTTGGGCGGCCCGGACCTGGTCCAGGTCACTCTGCAGCAGGCGCAGGCGCCCAAAGACTCGGGGCCTGAGCGCAAAAACTGATGGCTGGACCAAATCCGTAAAACGCACCTGAGAATCCCTGGCACCGAGCTGCGGGACGTACTGTGGCTGGTTGCGAAATCCATTTCGCACCACCGTTCAGAATCCCTGGTTTCTGATGATTGCACTTGTAAATACCAACAAACAATGTTTGCACATGCTTTCCAAGTGGTGCGAAACGGAGTTCGCAACCACCCACAGTAGCGCCAAATCACGTGGGTTAAATGGAAACTACCACCAAACACTAAAAGGCTAAAAAGCTAAGGGGATGGCTGGGAGCCACCCTGAACATGTGAGCGGTCTTTGGAGAAGCTTCGCCGGCCGCATGTTTCCCTTGCGCGGCATGTCGGTTTTTTACGGCGACATGCTTCGGTGCTTGCAGAGTGGTGAAACAACTCAAAGGCTTTGCACAGCTTGGGATGGAGTAACGAACAAGTAAATCACCTCATCACAATACAGCTTGTAGTTGGTTCGCCCCTATTGTGTTGCCATGCCATCGCATGACCACGGTGCGTGAAGGCATCCCCGCACCCCCCCGAACCAGTTGTTTAGGACACGAGGCTGCCCAAGAAAAACAATGCCGACAGAAGGCAGGTGAATGGCTGCGGCGCGTTTGGTGCTTGATCCGGCAGAAGACTGATCTGGCCAAACAAAAATCCTAACACATCCATCAAGCACTCACAAAAAGCAAGGCAAAGAGCCGCACATGAGAGAGTCATCTTCTGGCCCGATAATCACGATATTCATTTGGTTTCCACAGCTGCCGATTTCAGTCGAGCTGCCCTTCTTTTTGCAATGTTCGAGGGATCCAGAAACTTCCCCCGGCTGGGCAACTAACAAATGCTACAAATGTTCGGTCCGACACACGAACCAACAACAAAACAAAAACCATTAACACAAGCAACACCAACACAAAAGCCTCGAACCAACCAAACACCAAATAACAACAACACAACCAACAACACGAGCAACAACCCACAAAACCAACGTAGCAAGTATTGCCCATGTTCTTCACCTTCATTCGCGTGATCAAACGTAAACGTCTCTGAGCCGCCCGCGGCTCGATCTCCTCCCCGGCAGCAACGACATATAGATATGCAAACCTGAGACCGATGGCCAACACGGAAGCGTCCCCACAAGGGGACAAGAGGACTGGCTTGTTTTGATTTCGGGATGATGCTCTTGTCCTTTTCCCTGGGACACGTTGAGTCTGCTTGTTTTTTGTCTACAGAAGAGTCCAACAATACTGCATCCCCTTGAAACATCAAGTGAGCCATGGTCCAAACTTATGGCCCTGGTCATTCTTTTCTTGCAAGGAAGTTGACCAAGTGAAAAACACCCATTTTCGGAGGTTCCTCTTGAGTACGCATGCGTCGAAATGGGAACTCCCAAAAACAGAATTCAGCTTATGCTTGTCGGCCCTTCTTTGAGCCCATTTTTGCGGTGTCACCATTTGGATTGTCAAACAATCAGGGCCAATAAGTGCCTTCCCTTTGGAATTGTTCAGCAACCAAGGGTTGCCCTCCAAACACACAGACCCGCCTAATGTTGACGCCATATTCATCAACCCCACCCCCCTATTCATACTAATTTAAACTGGGGTTGATTCCCACGGCCATGGGTCCAAATCCCGTACCCCGAACATCCCAATCCCCACTAAAATGGGTGATGAATTCACCTACCCACCAAAATGGGATCCAAAAAACGGTTTTAACCCACAGCCATATGGCTTGGTGGCTTTGGGATCCCAAAACGGTTTTGACAACCACAGCCAAACCTCCCCAGGGTTGATTCTCATGCACTCAGCTCCACCTCTTCCCTCGGGCCCCCGGGGTTCCGGGCTGGACGTTGGGCGGCAGCTCCAAAGGCCACGCCTTGGGCGTGGAGCGCTGCACCCAGCGCACCCGCGCCTTCTGCTCCACGAAGTGCAGCTCGCCGCAGGCGTCCACCTGACCCAGAAAGGCGCGGCCCAGCGGCTTCTTGCTTCCACTTGTTCCTGTTGCAACTTGCTGGCGCTGATTCTTCCTGTGTGTACAACTTGTTGGTCTTCAAGGGGATCTATCTCTATAATATATTGGAAATATGGCTTCTTGCTTATTCATAGACGTCCTTTTCGGGGAAATAGATTAGATGATGAAGCCACCAAGCAAACCAGGAATCGCCATCTATTTTTTGACCAAAAGAACCCAAAAGGACACCTATGTGCTGAGTGCTTCCATTTGCTTGCTATGTCCATGTGGACAACTTGTTGGTCTTGAAAGGAGTCTATCTATGTTGGTTTGGTTGTTACAACTTGTTGGTCTTAAAGTTGGAATCTATCTATTTAAATGTATTGCTTCTGATTTTTTCAACTTGTGGGTCTTTGAAGGGAATCTCCATTATTTTGCTCATACTGGACATATCTGTACTTTGGACCTCCGATTCCGGGATATGGAGGGCACCGAGGGAGAGAGGGGAAAGAGATTCATTCCTTGAGCCAGTCCCTGCTAGTTGTTGGATTCAACCGGAAATGGAGTACAGTTCTCAGTCGTTGTTATCAGATGTCCCTGTTCGTTGTTGGATTACTCCGGAAATGTGCGTGCCCTTTCAGGGATCCTTACATACCTCAACATTGCAACTTGTAAATGGTGGTTTCCAACTTTATTTTGGTGTTGAAAAAGCAACATGTTTCAAATGGTTGCAAAATGAATTTCTTTTAAGGAGCCCTGCCTTCGTTCATCACTTCAAGGCCCAATGACGCAGCACCTGATTTTCTCCCCATGGCCTCACTGAGCCCCTGGGTGCTTTGGGGCTACAAGCAGGGGACCCTTTGGTGGACATCAAACCGCGTTCTATGTCCACGGGAGAAAACGGGCTCATACCCTTGTGGCCATATGAGTCACTTGCTCAAAGCCCGGTATGGTCGTAATCCCAGAACCATGCGTCAAGAATTGAGGCGGAGATCCGCAGCTATTTCTGGCTGGGATTGTACCTTACTAACCTTCGTCTACCCGGGTTTTGATTGTGGCTATATGGTTGCTGTACATCCCATGAACCCCCTGAAGGATATCATCTTCTGGAATGAAAGCGCGTGGTGTGCCGGTAAAACCGTGCAAACAGTTCAAGCAGCAAGACTCAAACCGTGGATTCTTCTTCCCTAATCTAACCAGGAGGTTGGAGGCAGCAAGCTTCTACACCCGTCAGTCACAAAGGATCCGGGTCGATGAAGGCAAAATTTGCACCAAAAATAAACGAGTGTGGAAGATTCGTGGAAGATACCGGAAAGAAAGCAACTCATGCGTGGGATGACCCTGAAAAAAATCGGCCCTCGGGTTCCATTGGGATCTGCACACAGACCCCCAGCGGCCGGGTACTAGGCTTACAAAGGGAAACACTTCCAGAAGGACGCACCCAACAAGTGGAAACGCAAAACAAGGAACCCCCACAAGATTTCCGCCGAGGCTTTCGCAGCGAGCGAGGTGTCCCGACGCAAGCAGACCCAAACCGAAGATCCCTGGATCGAGTTCTCAAGTTCCTCCCGCTTCGGCCTCCCCGGGGAAGGCGAGGAGGCTGGTGTTGTACTGCTGCGGCGGCGCGTCCGAGGCCTCCAGCAAGGCCTCGGCTTTGCAGCGCCGCGGCCGCCGAGCGCGCGGTGCCAACAAGTGGCGCCGGGGCGGTCTGCCCGCCCATGGTGGTGCTGTGGACTCGGGGGCAAGGTCTACCCTCCAATGGAAGTGGACAGGAGGGGTTTTGAAAAAGAAAGATCCAGCCTCTTCACCAAAGGTCTACCCTCCAATCGTGGAAGATGGCTCTTGCAAAGGCCCTGGAACTTCCACGTCCATGATTCTGGGATGAAATTAATTCCGAGCTGGAAATGGGGAAACGTGCCAACACAGGACCGCGGATTTCGCCAGATTTACTTTTAGAAGCATAGATAGGGCCAGTGCTTCGTTCAGAACAATCCAGAGACAACCAGGTTCCAACTCACCGATGGCAGACGTCCACCCCCATCCTTTTTCTGAATTCCTTAACGTCTTTTCTGAATGTATTGACGTTTGAAATCAAATTTGTTTAACAATTTTGTAGTCAACTTGTCCTTTGGAGAGTTCACTTCCCCCTCCAAGCTCCCAGCCCCCGAACCCCCCGAATCCCGAACCCGGCCTTGCGCTTCAGCATCGTCACGTGCGAGGGGGAGGTCTCCAAGTCAAGACGCTCCAGCTCCTACCGCCAGGTCGTCACTGGTTCAGCTCTGAACTGTTTGGGGCTCCCGATCTTCCGGCGAAACACCGTGCTCAGGTGCGTGCGTTTTTGCGGATACCCCAATCTTCAATTGGTTTAAAGACAACAACAACAAAAAACGCGAAAACCGAGATTGAAAGATCCCCCCTATTTGACACAGGGTATCCAGGAGTATCTAATCTAGTGTTGTGCAGTCGGCCACAAGCTCACTGGCTTCGCACATCATTTCAGGGTGGATCCACGACCATCCCTTCGCCATGCGGAGAGCATTTGTTGCAGGATCTTTTGTCATGGTTTTGTTTCAAGACCGTTGCTCCTTGGTGATGTCTGAGTGTGTGTGTGTGTGTGTGTTTACTTGTATGGCCATTGCGGCTTCTTGCTTTAGCCTACTAGCACAAACCTTAACCCAAAACCCGAGTAGGCCTCAGCCAATCGTGCCCTAAATCTCCCCCAACCAACTCCAAACCAACTCCTTCAGTCTTACGCCGGGATTCCTCAGATTGTCCCCAGAAAGAAATCTTAACCACAGAATCACCCTCCCGAAAAATTAAACAAAGAAGAAAGTGGACGGAGAACTCGAATTTCCCCGGCGGTTTCGCTTCGACTCCGCCTCTCCGAAGGTAGGGTCGGACAACTCGAATCGCACCACGAACATAGGTGGCCTTTTGGACAAAAACATGCTGGCCATGGTCAATGGAACAAAACCCATCTAAACCAGCGCCAGCTATGTTTGACCAGACCCACCTAAAAAAGGACACCTCTCACCACCCGCGCCCCGTTTCGGCCGCGTTTCGCCGCTTCGCCGCTTCGCCGCTTTGCGCCGCGCCTGGTGGTTCTGCCAAATGTGCCAGGCCCCGGCCTCGTCCGGCAGGCGCCCGCCCGGCACCTGGACGGGCGAGTTGAGTCGCTGGCTCGAAACCCAAGGCCCTGGTGGATTGATTGAAGCACCTGGTAAACCACACTTTTTTCAACCAAACCAAGGGGAGGTTTGAAGCCAACCCAAGGGAGTAAACCAGGAATCGCCCTCCCTTTTTCAACCAAACCCATCAAAATTTCAAAATGAGACCAGTTGAGTCACAACCACAACCCGGGACAGAAATGGTACTCCCAGAACCAAGCTTCAAGAATTGAGAAGGCGGATGTCCGCAACTATTTGTGGTTGGGGTTGTCCCTTCCTAACCTTCATCTACCCGGGTTTTGAACCATGGCCATTTGTGTCAAAGGGGAAACCGGCAGAAGGCTTCGGCCTTTTTGGCCTTGGGCTACTGCTTGGGCTGAATCAGGTCTTTAAAAGTCCCGACGTCTTTCGAGATTTCAGCCAAGATGCAGGAAGTCACGCCGATGAGCTAAGGTAAGGGGGAGCCCCTTGAAATGGGCTTCGGTGTCCTTTTGCCTGACAAAAACAACCCCAGGAGTACCCCTAAAATCCAAGCCCTTGTCGAAAAAGCCAAGCCGTAGCTATCCATTCCACCCAAATCTAGCCTACAGATTCTGTCAAGCCATGGCAGGCGGGGATTCCATCCAATCCGCGCAGCTTCCCTTGAGCTGTGAGAGACAAAAAGGGCACCTAAAAGGGCACCCTTTCTTGGTTGGCAGTTGATTCCTAAAACGGGAAACCCCATCCGGAAAAAGTCAAAATTCACACAAGTTGATTCTATCGAGGGAAACCCCATCCAAAAAGAGCCACCAAATTCACAGGGAGAGGGTGACAAGTTGATTCTAAAAGGGAACCCCATCCAAAAAAAACAGTTTTCTACCATGGGTGCCTGGGGGCTCTTCCTTCTCTCTCTCTCTCTCTCGTTCTCTGGCACACTCTTTTTTCCATGTGGCTTCTTCCAGACGCGCACATCCAGCTCCAGCTCTCGCAGCTCTTTGTCTGGATGCTTGGGCAGGTACCGGCACCTGGACGTCACGTGAGGTTTTGGAGATGCGGGCGACCCTCTTATGCCCTCCCCTGCCTGCATCCTAGCCAGAGAATTTCGGAAATTGTTCCAAAGGCATGGCTGAAATGGTGGCCGAAGGGCTGGACGTAGCAAAACGTGCTCAGAAACAAAACCGGATGTCCCAAAGAAGAGACGAAGAGGGATACTGGGCAAAGCACAAGCACAATCTTCAAAAGCATGCCTTCGTACCTGCACAGAAAAACTTCGCGGGATACCCGAAACACACACCTCCTCCAAACTGAAGGTTAAGGATCCAAACTAATAGCAGCCAAGATATGCCCCCGTGTCTACTTCGTTTGGCTTTCCTCAGCAAACAAGTGGATCCCCGTCGTTTGCCTCAGGCTGCCGTGGGTCGTTTGACCGGTCAATAACCCCCCCCACCTCTCAAAGCAGAGCCAAAATAGTCAACTTGATTCTGGTCTATCTCATGTAAACTTGCGTGGGTCAGCCTTTTTGCCTTTTTTGTGGTTGGCTTAAAATGACCCGGCCAAATTTCTCACGCGCTCGCTCCATTGGCCTCCGGCAGTGCACCAGCAGCGGCTCCAGGACCGGCTCCAGGGCGCGGCGAAGAGCTCCGCCGCTCCAGGCGGCGCTGGAGACGCTGAAGGCGAAGATGCCCCCGGGCCTCTCTGGTACGAGCCCGAGGGAATCAACCCCAGCTTATATTTTAGTATTGGGATGTGCCCTGGTTTTAAGTGGGGAATGGGATGTGCCTGGGTTTTAGCGGAACATCAGACCATTGTAAATAGGGGGATGTCCGATTCCGGTTTTTAGTGGGGAATTCTCTCTGGTTCACCGGTTCGCTGGTTCGCTGGTTCACTCGGGAGAGGGCTGAGTGGGTGATTCTCTTGGGTGACCTGTCGCCTGAATTTCTCCGGAGTCACGGCGAAAGCTGTTGGATTCTCGTCCGACCCAAAGCAACCATCAAGCTGGCGGGCCGAACCATCCCTGACAGTAATCCTCAAGCCGCCTTGGACTTTCAAAGTCTGGTAACTGATCTCTGCGGGACCCCTTGTAAACAAGTGAGAACTTCAATCCGTGGTTCTAGGCCCATCCAACCGCGGATTGTTTCCAAAAGAACGGCTGGAAAGAGCTGAGAAGCAACTCCCATGCCTCGTTTGCACATCTATCCTCAGTGTCTTTCGGAGAAAATTGGTGGAGTACACTGAATGATTAGAATCAGACCGAAACCCATGGAAATGTGTGCGTTCAATAGAGCTGGCTAGAAGGACACTTTTGAGCGCTGTGAAACTGTTCAACTGCTCTTCTTGCCGCCTCCACATCACTGGGCCGTGGATGGAACAATTCATCTACTTTCACACGTCTAGTTGCCGTGGATGTCCTTGTGGAAAACTAGACGGCACTAATCCATCCTATTTTGAGGTATCTCTTAGTAACACAGCATACCCAAACACCAACTAATCTCTGGCCCGAAAGAAACCTTCCTGAGTGTGACGTTTTTCAGTGTAGCCCCCCAAAAAAAAATGTAGGGTGTCCCTTGTGGTTTCCCTTTAAAAACCCACAAAAGAAGGAAGACCAACCCAAAACAAGATGCGGGTTGTCCCTTTAAACCCCACTGAAACAGGAAGACCAACTCCAAAAGCCCTTTCAAACCCACACAAGAAGGTAAACCAAAACCCCCATCCGCCCCCCAAACAAGGTGCCACGACTGCCACCAGCCCTAGTAAAAAAAAATAACACCGGATCCCCCTGTGAGCTCCACCCCAAAAAACACAACCAACTCCAACCCCCTTCCTTCCCCCCCTTTCCCACCCCTTCCCTGTGACCTCCGCCCCCCTCCCCACCCCCCCCTCCACCCATGCCACCCCCTTCGCCTCAGCGCCAGCTCCAGCTGCCGCCCCAGCGCCTCGAAGTCCTCCACGTAGCCCAGGGACCCCGCCGCCCCCACCGCCGCCGCGCTGCACGGCACCAGCCCCGGCCAGGGGAGCTGCATGTCGTGCACCTGGAAACCAAGCGACCACCCGGGTTTTCTCCCCAAAGGCCCGGAGGTGTAGTTAGAATATATACATATTTATGTATATACATGTGTATATATATATATAATTATTCATATTGATTTATTGCTTTGTTCTTTTAGTCAGTTGGTTGTTGAATTATTCATTTTTGCGCCTATACATGGGCTATTCTGGCTGTACATCCCACTAAACCCTTCCACCTGAGATCGCAGCCGTCTGTGCAGCGTCCCGGCATCCGGGCACAAGGTTTCCTTTGGGCCCCAAGTTGTCATTTTGTGGATGATACTAAACAATTGAGGTGGTGAAATTGCACTGATGCAAAGTAGCTGGCAAGGCATCCTAGGAGGAAATCAAGCGCCAGAGCACTAGTGGAAGCACTGAAGTTGCGCGACGCGCTCTCATCTCCCAGTCATTGGAGAGAGTTTACGTCTGTGTTTTGCGCCAGGAAAAAAGAAGTGATAAACAGGAGCATCATATCGCAAGCCCCCAAACTCCCGAGCCCCAAACGCAGCGTTGGCACAACAAACATGCCTATTCTGATGAAGAGCCCAAAACACTCACGTGACTGCCACACTCAGCCAAATCTGCTTTCAACCCCCAAACAAAAACCGTCTTCCCCAAGATTCATCCATCCCTCCTCCCTTCCTCCTCCCTTCCTCCTCCCTCCTCCCTTCTTTCCTTCCTCCCTTCCTCCCTTCCTCCCTTCCTCCCTTCCTCCCTTCCTCCTCCCTTCTCCTTTTTGTGTTCCTCCCTTCCTCTGTTTTGCTTTTCTCCCTTCCTGATTCGCTTTCCATTCTCTCCTCCGTTTCCCCGCAGCCAGAATGCCAGTTGGCTACATCATTTCTTTAAAGTTTATGTCCATTTGAATGTCTCAAAATGGGGGGGGACCCTCAAGCCACTACCTTCCCTCTCGACTTGATTTCCCTTCAACCCTTACCGGAAAAAATACAGGGCGCCCCTCCAGAAACCGAGGGAACACCCCATTTCAGAGCCGTCCCCCACCTACCTGGACCTCACAGCCCCCCCCCCCGGTCCCCCGTCCCCACCTGGACCTCGTAGGGGCACCGCCGCGCCATCTCCGGCGCCAGCTCCAAGCCCCGCAGCCGAAACCGAGGATGCGCGAGGGCGGCGCCCAGGGCGCCGTGGCCGCAGCCGAGGTCCCAGAGGTCGCCACTGCAGCCCAAGGGAAACGCGGCAGGGGGATCTTCGAGGAATGGAACTTGTGGATGTTGTAAGTCTTTTGAATGGGGTAGGGTTAGGGAAACGAACTCAGAACTTGTGGATTTGGAGTTTTCTGAAGGGAAGTAGTGGTTAGGGGAAAGGAACTCAGAGCTTGCTGCTTTTGTTTGGGTCTTTCTGAATGGGGTAGCGTTCGTACCCTAACCATGGAGTTATGACCTACGGTACTGCCAAGAGGACTGGACAGGGTTGGGGTAAGACCTAGGCGGGGGTGGTGCTGGGTTCTTTTTCACATCGCTCGTGACAGGCTTCTCCGTCAAATAGACGAAAACTTGCCTTCCCACATGCGCCCCTAGGCCCCCTTGAAAGGAATTGGAAACACAGGAAGATCGCCCGTGACTTTTTCTGGAAGGTCTTCTTCCAACGACCGAGCTCTTCACTTGCCTCGGTACAAAGTGGGAACCAACCCTTGGAGGCAATGGACCAACTGACAGCTAATTATCAATTAACACCAGAACTTGAATGGGCGCCACCATGGACCAACCATCAGAGTGAAAGAACTTCTCGGGGTCTCAAGGGGTCTCCTTCCCATACCTCCCGACTCGGGGAACTGGGAATGAACGCGAAGCACAGCTTTTTGAGGGATCCGGATGCATTCTACACCTGAACCTTGCAACTTGTAACTGGCGGCGTCCCTTTCTTTTGGTGGAAACAGGCCATGTTTCAAATGGGCAAAATGTATCTTTCAAGGAGCCCTGTTCCCATAAGGAAATTAGTTGGAGAGTTGAGGTCGGGGTGATTCCCTTCCCTCAGAGCCACCAAGTTTAGTTGACCCCCTCCCAAAAAAAAGCACAAACATAAAATGAAAAACAATGACGGCAAATTAAAACAAACAAAAAAAAGTACCACACAAACAGAAAACATAAAACAGAGAAGGAAACAAAAAACGCTAAGAAAAAAAGATGAAAAACCATAAAAATAAACTTGGGGGGAAAAAAAGAAGAAGAGAAAAGGGAAAACCCGGGGAAACATATGAAAAAAACAAAACAATGTGTTTTGCGTGTTGGAATCCACTTGGGCTTCAACCAGAGACCGCCGTGCCTCGTGATCTTCTGGAGCTCCAAGCCCTTGGCCAAGGCCTCCGCAACCAAGCGCGGGGTGATGTATCCGCAGCTGGCCATGTCCTCGCCTAAACCGAAGGCCCGTCGGAGCTTCGGAGAAAAAGAAAAAAAACTCGGGGGAAAAATGGGGGAGCTACGGTGGATGCCCGAAGTTGATTGCAAGGAAAAATCAAAACCACAAACCATGGCATTTTGCTTGCAGGGTTTCACTTGTCGTCTGCTTGCAATGTTTAGGATGTCCGCCGTATCAATATGTCCCGCGACAGTTTGTGGCCAAATGCGGTTCTTTGCGCATCACCCGGTTCCACCTGTTCCCACGCTATTTGTGCCTGGATGAATTTCCGGCCCGGACCAAATGTGATGTCTTCCAGGTGGAAATTCAGCCCTGTAAATTGTTTGGGAAAAGGAATGTAGGAGTCAAAGAGGAAAGGGGTTGCATAGATTCCAAGCAAGTGGTCCCATGTACTCACCATCTACTTTGTCTTGCTCTATTCAGTGTGAAGTCTCCCTTGATGGGGGTCCCAGAATGCTATATACCAACAGGCTCCAATACTGCTTGGCTGGCCTGAATCAATCAAAAGAAAATTGTGAGAAAACCAGCCGAACGCATCACTGGCATCCGCTTCGTCAAGTCTTCCTCTTTGGACTTAAGCTCATATGTGAGCATGCTCCCCACCCGCCCGACCTATGCTCTTCCACAAGGAACGCGGCAAAACTGCAAACACCCACATGACTTGGTTCCCCGTTCAACCCACTTAGTACAGTAGGACACAAGCTCTGGTTTTACTTTGTAACTAGTCACGGCTATAACTGGGGTTAGCCACCTTTGGGCTGATGGCCTGTGTTGTAATCATGGCTATAGCCTACTAAGTAGGTTGCAAATCCAAGAAGTCCTGTGTTTGGACCCGTGAATTGTGCATGAAAGAAAGTAGATACGCCAAAATGGGAGTGCTTCTTGGACCCTGTTTGACTTTGGGGGGTTCGCTTAAAGGGAAAGCCAAAAAGGCGACCACTCATTTCCGTTCCCCAATTTGCTAACCCAAAAAACGAGGGCCCCTTTGAACATCACACCAAAAGGAAACGAGCCAGAGCAGCCATCAAGCACCCTTTTTTCCCAGCGTCCAACCACTCATTGGGCTCCAGATCTCAATAAGAAACCTAAATATGAGCGTGGCTCAACATCAAACTGGATTTACGGAGGTGGTCTTTGTTTCCAGATACCAAGTGGGGGCATTTTGAGTACATGTTTGTTGCCACAGCTATGTTTCTAGATAAACCCAGCTGGGTCAGCGTCAAAACCTGGTATTTAAATTGTCGCCCCAGAACCACATAAAGAATCAAAAAGGCGGCCGCACCCATTCTCTATTTGGACTACCCCTTACTAACCTTCATCTACCCGGATTTTCATTGCCACAGTCATTGTCTGTTTCTGAGGGCTACAAAAAAGTGCCGGTTTTCGTGACTTTCCTTTAAGACCACCAAGACTCAGGGGTGCCAACTCGAAAAACACGCATGGGGAGAAAATAGATGGCCCTGGTTGATTGAACCACCCGGTCAACCAGGAATCGCCGGGTAAACCAGGAACCGCCCTCCATTTCTTCCAACCAAACCCAACAAACAGCCCAACAATTTCCACCAGTGGTTTGAGCTGGACATATGAGTCACAATCAAACTTGGTACTAAAGTGGTCTACCCAGAACCATGCTCCAAGAAGTAAGGCGGATGTCCGCAACTATTTCTGGCTGGGACTGCCCCTTACCTTCATCTACCCGAATCGGTTTTGAGCACGTGGCTCATATCGCGGCTCACGGACACCGCGCCACCCGAGCCGCCGCATCGATCCGAGGCGTCGGCTGTAGGACCCCCAGCGCCCGTAGAGCTGCCGCGCCCCGGCGGCGCTGAGCGGCAGCCGCTTCACCAAGGCCCAGGGCTCCATGGCGCAGGAAGTGGCTCGGGCTTCGACGTGTTTTGGTTTGGGTTTCGAGGGCTTCGTATTGGAACGCCAAAGGCCTTGTGTTTGTTCTTGTTGTTTTTTCTTGTTGGGTTGTTTTTCCCCTGTGGTTGTCCTGCAAAAAAGCTTCGCGGTTTTTTTCTTCTCTTGCTAAAGTTTCTTCGGTGGTTGTTCCTTGGATTGTGTGCGGCTTCCTTTGGTTCTTCCCTTCCTTCGCTGGATCTTCCTTTGGCTTCCTTTGGTCTCCTCTGGTCTGTCTCATGAAGGAGGGCCAATGCAAAAAAGACACGCCCCACTGGGCCCTGCTGGTTGATGCGTGAGGGAAGCGAAGAAAGTCACAAACAGTGTGAAAGGTCGCCAGCACATGGATCATCCTTTTGCCTGCCTGAGGACCCGTCAAGCAAACTGTTGCCTTCCTTTTGTGCTGTCGGTTCAAGGGCTCTTGCTATACGCCAGATCATAGGAGAGTTGCCGCTTGATTCGGGGCGTCAACAAAAAAGACCCCAATCAACAGGCATGCAACAACTGAAAATCGATGACATCCATGTAGCATGGCCACCCCTAGGAGGGGGGGCGGGGGGAGGGGGGGCGGGCGGCGGTTGCCTTTGTAACTGTCTCAAATCTGAGTCGTGATCTTCCTTCCCAACCAGAATTCAGTCTTGCCATATAAGGGCTTCAAAGATCTTTCCATCTTGTCCCCCCGTGCGCCCCTTCCCATTTGTGGTATTCTGGTAATTCTATCCCATCCCCCTTGTTGGTCCTCTTCTGATCCCACCAGGTTCCTCCGATTCGCCGCACATGCGCAAGCAACAGGTCTCCTGCCATGGCCAGAAGGTGCCTTACAGCTGGAAGGTGACAATTCCTTCCCCATCCCTCTCCGCCTCTTCGGATCCTTCTTCCCATTTCCCCCCCCCAGAATCTAAGAATCTTGCGAGCTCAAAAAAAGGGGGGCTGGAATCCTTCCCCTCCGCTTCTCCTTCGGGTCCTTTTCCCCATTTCCCCCAAAAAAAGCCGGGGACCTCTCCACCGGAAAAAAAAAAAAAAAGCGGCCCGCGCTAGGCGCTGCAGCGCCCGCCTTGACCACCACGTTCACCTTCCGCCCGGCGTAGCTCTTGAGGTTCACCCCCGAGTAGAGCCGCACCGTGAGCCTGCGGAGACTCAGAAGGCGAGTGGTGGTAAGAAGTGGGCGGAGCGGCTCCTGGCTCACTTGGCCCCGTTTGCGGAACACATCCCCCACCTGAAGGACATCCTGGGGGAGGACTTCCGGAAGGAGTTCTTTCCCTCAAGTTCTTTTGCGAAAGAATGAAATGGCAGTACACATCGCGATAAAGAATTGGCAGCTTTCCCCATTCACCGTGTTGCCAACAGGCTTGGGGAGCGGAGAGATGAGGCAAGACCCAACCTTCATGGTCTTCTTTTATGTCCTAATCCTTTTGTGAGCGAAATGATGGAGAGATGACAACAGGAAATGATAGGATGGTGAACTGTCCGAGCGGGAAGTGACCGTGTGTACGAGAGAAATCGAACGAGTTGTAGATCAAGAGATGGAATAGATAATAGCAACAATAAGGAAAACATATTCTTTGCAATTTGCATGCAAGCGGTGGGTGACTTCTTCCTACCTCCTCATCTCTTCCCACCCTTCATTCACAAGCCAAGATGTGAAGAGAGACAAGGAAGAATGATGGAGATAGGATGTGAAGGTCATTCAATGTAATCCAAGAAGATATGAAGATGTGAGATTTAGAAGTCATGGCGCGCCAGGAATGTCCGTTCACTGGATAAAGAGAATGGGCCCCTTGACTTCTCCATCCGCTCGCTTAGGGTTGGGTCTGGTGCGATTCAAGGAACGGACATGTGCCACAATCCACTCCGAGACGTGGGTCCGGGTTTTCGTTGGGGTTTTCCGAAAAAAACCAGCCCACGAAAGGGCACCCTTTGAAAAAACAAACACATCCAAATTGAAAGTTGCCGGTCAGGTTCGTCGCAAAAAAAGGCTCAGGACACGAAATGTACCCAGGGCAATGCGCTGTCGTCTTGCGAGCGATTGCCACGTGATTCTTGCGTCCGGTCCCAAAAATCATTGAATCCTTGAGTCCTATTCACACGCCTCATTGGCTCCAGTGCGCATGTCGCAAGTTCGGGCTTTCGCCAACACGCCTTTCGCCTTTCGCCAACGGAGGTTTCTCGGCGAAAACTTCTCGCCTTGAAGGCTTTCGCATCCTCTTCAAGGACTCGAAGTAGACCTTCGACACCATCTTCGTCCTGGCAAAGTAGCCGCAAGCTACAGCCAAGCGGCAAACAAACGACCCGTCCTTTGACACATGGCCGCCGGGTCTGTGACGCAATAGATGCAATCCGTTGCGCCCAACAAAAGTGTATGTGTGTCTATGTCTGAAGCTAAGCAACTTCTTCACGCGACTCGTGTGGTTTGGACACATTGCCATCCCCATCCAAAGGAAAGCTGAAAGCGCCAAGTTCCGAATCTAAGCACTTGAAACCCTATGGGAGTGGGGTGGCGGGTCAGTGACGCAATGATACAAGAAATCCGTTGCCTACAAGATCCGTCGGTTGGCGCAAGTAGGAGTGAAGCCCCTTTGAAGAAACCCTAGTTATGCCCCTACGTGTGTTCCCCCATGACTTCCCTATGGTATACCGTCACAAGCACGGCACTGCTGTACAGCCGTTGAAGCTTCCAACACAGGAGCCAGCGGCCAAACAACCATCGGTTTCCTCACATGTCTCCGTGAAACATCACACCAAAGTAAACTCCTCTACAACTGCTCAAGTGAAACATAAGTATGTGCAGCATGCCTATATATATATATAAATTGAAAACACTGTACATACCAGTGAATTATGAAGGAAAGTAGATCCATGGGGGGGGGTACCATATATATATATATATATACATACGAGGTCCTCCAGTAGAGAGGTTAGAACAAGGATACCCTTTTTGCTGTAGTCTATTCTAGTAGAGGAACCATCCCCCCAAAAAAAGAAACCGAAAAAGGGCACCTAGCTGGGGGACCTAGTATACCTGCAACAACAATCTTGGGTGTGAACCCACTTGAGGGTAGACTGATTCAAAAACAATCATCACCTGCAAATCCGGCCAGAAAATGCTACCAAAACACATGCAACACAAGGCCCCCCGGAACAGGGATCCTTACATTACACACCTGAACATTGCAACTTGTAAATGCTCCCCTTTATTTTGGTGTTGAAAAAGCCACATGTTTCAAATGGTGGCAAAATGAGTTTCTTTTAAGGAGCCCTGTTTCCTGGAAGTTCCTAGGCAACTTCTCCCCCGCGACACGTGCCACGCGACTCGCGTCCCAAACTTCACGGCCACCGAGGCGGTGTGCGTGGAGGCGGGCCGCACCGCGCCTGCCGGTCTAACTTGGCCGAGGCTGAACGGGCCCTCACAGTCCATGTGATGTACCCATAAATAAATAAATAAATATATATATATACTAATATATTAATATATTAATATATTTATATATGTATTATCTATATATGTATGCTGTACATAGGATTTATAATGTGTGTGTATATAGATTATCTATCTATATCTATCTATCTATCTATCTATCTATCTATCTATCTATCTATCTATCTATCTATCTATCTATCTAAATATCTATCCATCCATCCATCCATCCATCCAGTCATCTATCTATATATGTATATGTATGTTGTACATTGGATGTGCATATGGTAAGGCAACAGCAACCTGAGCAAAAAAGGTACTACCCACCCACCCCGCCCCTTGTCAGCCTCTTAGCCGGCAGCTACCTGCCTGCATTAAAAAAATATGTTGAAACAAGGGGGCCGACGGCCTAAGCGTTGCGTTTTGTCGGGTTCCAACTCTTCTGCATATATATATATATATATATGTATATATATTTAGTTGTGATATGTATATACTGCATATATGAAGCGTTTCTGTGTAATATGTGTGGCACCATCTTACCAGCAAACAAGTAGATGGTACCCCAAACGAGGCCCGATCGCCGGCCTTTCGCGATGCAGGTTCTAGCAATCACGCACATATGTCTTGTCCAGATGTCATGTTCTGCCTGTGGCACCTTCGCAAGACCAGGCGCCCCGCTTCGACCACACACTCTCATGAGATTGGACCTTGGATGAATAATCCTGTCGGCCCAAGTGGCATTCTTTTTCCTTGGAGCCGTCCAGGTCGCCAAAAAACAAGTCTACTAAACAGAATGCCCCCAGAGTCAGGAGGGGCTGAGAGAGGCTGGGAGCCTCTCAGCCCAAACCTCTCCTAATGTTTACAACCCTCGTATTCGCAGAATCCAAACCTCTTGCACCTTTGTCAAGGAACGAAATCCGGAATAGAAGACCATTGAACGAAGGCGTTGACCAACAGCCTGTGAATCTCCTGGGATCCGCCAGGAGCTCTACTTCCACCCCACCCACCCCCCTCCCCACGACTTTGGAGGGGAGGTGCCTTGCTCGAAACCAATCGCAGCAAAAGCTCAAGGGTCGGACAAGCATCTTTAGCATCTTGGGGCATCTTTTCCTTGGCCCTCCCTCCCAAACTAAAACCCTCACCCCCCCCCCCCCCCGCCCTTCACCATCTGGTTGGCCACGTCCGGATATGTGGCATTCGCCGCACCTAAGCGAGCGCGCAACATGCGATGCCGAGGCTCCAGGCAAAACGTGGACTACCTCACTTCAGGCTCCCAACTTAGACGGTGATCAAACCACCGTCTGAGAACAGGGGCTAACCTGTGAAGCACAAGTTCGCACCATTGAGACGCATCGCATTCTTGGGATGTGAGAGAAGTCGCCGGGGATCCTTCGTCTTAGTTTTGAAGTGGGGAGAGAGAAATGAAGCAAGTCACAGCCAAACCTGATGCAAAAGTCTACCCGAAACCCTACCCACCTATTCTGGCCAAATTGCATTCATTGACAAACTGGAAAAAAAGGCAGCCCCAAGGGACAATCATGGGTGAGCTTGTCTTCTCCCAAATAAGCTCTCCACAATTTCCCCAGATCTATGCTTGGGACATTCCAGCCGCGAGTTGCCTAACTCTTGGTTTCAAGTCGGCTCTGGGGCCCTGGCCGCCAAAGCAGTGGATCCAGTACTCCTGGCGGCTGGACACGTAGACATGTTACAGTACCGGACAATCACAACAGAGTCGACCACTGTGCCGCGAACCAAATCGTGGGAAAGCGCAGCCTTGCAAACGTATTTCTGTCAGATGCTAGTGATGCTAATGGCCAGGACATACTCCACAAACATCGAAAGCACGCGATCGACTTCAGTGCAGCAAGCGGCTCCCAGCATTTCATCTCAACTTGTCACCCAGCGCTCAGCACTACGCATGTTGCTGGGTTGTTGCACTACAATCCAGAGAAAAACGGTCATCCAGCAAATCAACCAACGGCATGTTTGGAAATCCACAGTGCCCACGCTGGTGTGGATTGACAGAGAAACCTGTTTTCAAGTTGACATGTCGGTTGCGGCCGTGGAGGGACAACTGATGCAATGTCAAAAGACTACTGAAAGTTTGCATCCGGCTTGTTCCCCGTGTCCTTGTCTGGCTCCACATCATAAATAACTCCCTCGCCGATGACCTTGTCCCGGCTAAAGACCTGGTGCCAGTCAAGTTGGCCAAAAGTCGGGAGGCAACACCGAAGGGCTAGCCTTAGATGCCGTAGCTTGTACCCCAAAGAGGCCTTGCCCTTGCTTGGGAGTTCCTACCGCCAAAATGA